ATTTGATTCAGTTCACGACCAATTCGGTTCGCGACCAGAGTCACGGAACGAATTAAGTTCGTGAACCGAGGTATCACTGTACAACGCTGACATAGAATTTAAATTGGGCGGGTCGCAGGGCAGGAGGGGTAGCAAGGTGGCTGGCCTCTGGCTATCTGAAAGGGTCACATCTTCCAAATAGATTCAGCCCACCCTGGGCAGATTAAAAAACATGCATGAAGCCTTGTTGTGCTGTACAACCTCCATAGATCAAAGAAACAAAAAGGAAAGAAAATCAAGGTAGATCCCTGAGGCATTACTACTACTACTATTACTAGTGCTACTTAAAACAGGTATTTTAAATAGTTCTTAAATATTGTCCTTGAGTTTTATATAAGACTGTCAATTTCCAGAGAGGTAAGTTTTCTTTCTCCTGTTCAACCTCCACTCCATTTCAGCAGGCTGCATATTATTAAAAGTCAAATGTCCCCATTCTTTTACAGCACATATTCAAGGTGAACTCTAAGGATACGTCTTTGAAAATGCAACACAGCATCGCCTGAACGAATCTTATTCCTGAGAAAGTATGCTTAGGATTTCAATCTCTGTTCCATTATTGTGAAATGCAGAGAATTAATGTGCTTTATATGCAGTCTACTCAGAGTGCTTAAAATAAGAGAGTTGTGAAAAGAAATGGGGCAAGCATAACTTTGAGACAGACAATTTGGACCTTTTGTGTCCTCAGTAAAATACCTGTTTTAATCAGTGAATGAAACACTGTGAGATAGAAGACAGTTGCTTGCTTCCCTTCAATCCCCTTCAACATTTAACGGCTAGGTCTTGAGACCACCAAAAGTCTCTCCCAGTTGATTCCTTGTTTTTGGAAATGCTGCTTCCAAGAACAGAGTCCTTTTGTCCCAGGTGCAAACCCTGAACCACCCAGATATGTTGAACTCCCAACTCCTACAGAGCCAGCCTAACTGGGGATGATCAGAGTGGTAGTCCAACATCTCTGAAGGGCGCAGGTTTGGGGAAGGTCAGTCTAACTGCTGAACATACCAAATCAATGGACTTATTCTTTCATACATTTCAGACTGCATTTGAGATCAGATGGTCCTCCATTTAAAAACAGTGGAAAAGAAAATGGCAGATATGATTTTGCGGTGGAGAACACACTAATATTTTTCAAGGTCAGGATAATGCTTCACAGTGACTCTATCAATGGGAATTAAAAAGTGATGATTCCTGGATCTGGCTGACTCCCTCGTGTGACACTAAACCACGATGCTCCAATTTCTCTTCAGATTATATAAATGTTTCACCTTTTTACTAAAAATTACAGCAAATGACCCCTTAGCTCAATGCATGAACACAGATACTATGAATTTAATATTTCCCTCCCTTGAAGCTGCCAGTGCATGACTGTCAGTAAATTCACACATGATTCAAAACTTTGGTTAGATTAGGCATGAATTGGCTAGGTTCACACAATAGTTTAAGCCTTAAGCCAGAGTTTACAAAACAGCTGAGTTCACATAACATACTAAGCCAAAATCAAACAAACCATAAACACTGGTGTAATGTCATGAGAATCCAGCCAAGTGAAATTTGAGAAAGCTCCACAAAGTAAACTATGGATTAGTACAAAATGTGTTGACTCAGTCTGAGTATACAATTCTTGGAGGCCTACAGGAGCCTACTCACGCAGCTAATCCACCCACAGACCACTGCATCGCATCCCTCTGTTATCAGGGTTGGACAAGTTAGTGATGCAGCACCAGGGACTTATATTGTGAAGGCTCTTTCCAAGTGAAGCTAACTCTGCCCCTTTATCAGATTTGGATGGAGTCAATTTGTTTCAGATAATATTTAGGATCAACTGTGTTGTTTTCCAACTGATGAGGTCTTACAGGGTCAAAAAAGGAGAATGGAAATTTCCTACTTCACATGTACCCATGAATGGAGTGCCACTCCTGTGTCCTCAGTTCCTAGTTCCATTAATTGGAATCACTTATTTGTCACTGTAAGATTTGAGGCCAGCAAGTCTTCTCTAATCTGGTACTAACACCCATGGAGAGCATCAAGTTAAGAAAGGTGACTATAACAGAAATTTAGGTCCACTTCAGCTGGGGCTTAAAGAAAAGCCTTCATAAGCTACAAGCTCTAATGGAATGAAAAGAAGGACAAGATCTAACTAGCAACATACAGTGGTACCTCGGGATACGAACGCCTCTACTAACGGCCTTTTCGGGTTACAACCAGCTTCGGCAGGAAAATTTTACCTCGGGTTATGAACTCGCCTCTAGTTACGAACCGGATCTGCGGCCGTTTTCCCTGCTGCCACGCGGTCGCGGCTTCCTGTGGGCGAGGTCGCGGTAGCAGGGAGACGTTT